GCAGTCCAAGGTAAAGGGATGTTTCTCCTCAGCCTGGGGGAGCAAGGCCAGGGTCATCGGGCCCCTTTGAGTCCACCAGCCCCCGCTCTCAGGTTCCCTCTCCCTCCTCTGACCTCCAGGAGGGCCAGCCAGGGGACCCGGCAGGGGCAGGTGTGTACCCGGCTCTGAGGGGCTCTGTGTTCAGGGGCCAACCAGGGCATCAAGAAGGCCTGCACAGATTGGGCGGGGGTGAGGCGGTACCTACAAGGGGTCCCTGACATGCCCACGTGGCAAGGCAGCCTGGCCGGGGAGCCTGAGCAAGGCCCTGTACAAACAGGAGGCTCACGCTGACTGGTCTTCCTGGCAGGGTGACTGGCACGTGCTAAGGCCAGGGGACACGCAGGGAGCCGATAACTGCTGGGAAGAGTGAGGCCGCTCCAGCCAGCAGGAGCCAGCTGAGCAGGCAGGGGGGAGCAGAGCAGAGAGGCCTGCAGGGCCGGGCTGTGGAAGGCCTCTCTTGGCAGGTCACACACAGGCCCCCTGCTCCACTGTGAGCATCCCTAATTGCCAGGGGGTGGTTGTTATGGTCCTGGGGTGGTTGAGAGTGACCACATGCAACACAGTGAAGCCCTCCTGGCCCTGCACCAGCCTCACAGCTGTCCCTGTGCCTGAGGGACAGGCACAGCACACCACGGCTGCAGCCACAGTGTCCATCCATCCCATCGGGGGCCTTCCTGTCATCACTGCCCTCCCCTGTACCCAGCAGGATGTCCTTCTCCAGGGACTGGTCTCTCCTGACAACACGTCCAAAGTCACTGTCACGTGGGACCCCTCTAAGTGACAGCCGGTCTGTGCAAAGTGTCAGAAACCAACACAACACCACGGGCCTCTGGGGACCGAGGATCAGCGGCCAGCCTCTCTGAGCAGCCGGCTCCAGCCCCATGGGGAGAGGTTTGGGGGGGTCAGGGAGCACCTGCTAAAGGGAGTGGGGGTCTGGATCAGGGGCCTGGTGGCAAGGGCGGGGGCAGCTGGAGGAAATGGCTGGTCCTGGCTCCGTGGCAGCACCCTGTCGCTGCAGAGGGCGGGCTGCTAGAGCCCCACATTCCTCCCGCCGCCGCACCCTCCCAGCCTGTCCACGCCTGTTCTCACAGTTCCCAGAAGGCCCCAGGGCTGGCTCCCAGTGCCAAGTCCCAGAATCCTTCAGAGTTCGGAAACCAGTGACTGGGACCCTAGTCCACATGTTCAGAGGCCCACCTTCCCAGGGACGACCTTCTCATCCACATAGGCATATACTGGACCATCCCCACCCTGGCACCAGCCCCTGTGCAGGACGTCCTGCTGGGCCGGAGACATTTCCTTCCACTTCAGATCGCACTCAGGGGAAAAGCCCCAGATGGGAGAAGAAGGGGTAGCCAAAGCCCCGAAAGGGTTCCCGGATCCCCCACAGCCTGGGTCTGGACACAGGAAGGCCAGGGAGGGGGATGCTGCTCAGGCGAGAGAGGAGCAGGGGTCCGTACTCTCAGCATGACTAGATAGCCCTAGTCAGTCCCCTGCCCCCAGCCTGCCTGCCCCCGGCCTGCCCCCTGCCTCAAGACCCAGGCCAGACTGCTCCTGCAGCCCCAGGTCACTCTCCCTGACCTTCAGTGTGGATGGAATTCCCACACCCACCCCTGGCACCGGGCCAAGGCCTGCTGGTTCCCACCAAGGCCTGGGAAGTGACTTCAGCTGCCCATGCCACCCTGGTCCTCCTCCTTCACTGGGGTTCCCAGGGCAGAGCCAGCCCTGCCTACTGCCGTAGGGTGACAGAGGTGGCCCCGGCCCCACAGGCTAGGCCCACAACTGCCGAGGCCTTGTGGCTGGGTGGCAGGAGGCTCAGGGCAACGCCGACAGGACACAAATGCTGACTCCACTGCCTGTTTCGGAGGCAAAGGGCACCAGCGGGCACGGCCCCCAAATCCCAAGCCACGAGGGGGCAGGGGGGCTGCATCAGGGTCCCTCACAGGAGTCCCAGCACAGCCCAGCTGGGGTCCCCCATAGGCAGACCATGCTCCATCCTCCAAGAACCCAAGGGTGTTGGCAGGGTAGGAGAGGAAACTGAGGCCCAGAGAGAGGCAGCCACTGTGGGCAGAAGCTCACCCCGGTAGTAGGCACTGGCCAAGGCCAGGCCCCCCCTGACTACGGAGTTAGTGGCTGCCCACATGGGAGCCACCACCTGAAGCCTGGGCCCCAGGGGCTCAGTGACACTCCGAGCACTCTACAGCTCAGAATGAGGGGTTCCCGAGAGGTCAGGGTGACAGACAAGA